GGGTCCTGACAGTGCAGCTCCCTTTCAGAACAGTACAGCTCTGCGGCCAGACCCCTCTTGATTTTAGAGGCTGTCAATATATATTGCAATATTCACTTTATGGCTCATATTGGACTATTTTCTAAAATCAACATCAGATCAAGACAGCCTTAATAAGAACACATTAAAGTATTAGGTAATTAAAAACTGACGACTTCACAGCAGATATGCTCAGAATGACAGCCTTTCTGGTGGAGAAAAACACTTCAAAAGTCCAGCTGTGTTTTCAAAACCCAACTTATATGGTGTGGTTGATGACTTGATTCTGATTGGCTGCAGGATGACTGTTAGAAAGTGCTATAGGACATGTTTTAAAGAATTCTGGATCTGAATTATTGCTTTGAATCCCTCTGAAATTATACTTTGTATTAGTATCATAGCCTACTTAGCCGCTTCTTTGGAATAAACGTATATTTTAATGATATGACTTAATATTGATTCAATAATTCTATTGTGTAAGTCACCATGATATGCGAGATAATGGATTTCAAGGTGTCATTATCAGTTTCCAATTCTCCCAGTGCAAAGTTCTTTTATCTCCACGGCCACTTGCATGTCAGGGTATTTTTTTTTCTCTTAAACTGTAAGTTTGTGCATGCACTTTAGTTTGTCCTGTTTTGGCCTTTTTCCACTGGTATCAACCATATTTAAACCATTTGATTTCGGCTTAACGTATTTCTATAAGGGTGGTTTTATTCTGTTTATTCTTTTTCTGTCAAGCTTTTGTACTTCTTATCCTCTAGCATGTTCACTTTTATTGAGCTTTTTTGCTGGAGGTGATTTATAAATAAACTGACTAATGAATCCTACAGGGAACCTGTGAGATTCACTAAAAAGAAGATGGCATGGAAAAGCAAAGGACTCCGGACACAACTGAGCATCGATTCATGGTCATAGATCCTTGTCTCTGGATGCTCCAATCTATTAAAATGTTACAGGAGAAGATATAATTTTTATCATCTTGGCAGGACCAGCTCTTGTATGAATGAGCCCTGATTAATTAAAATGCAGGAGATTTTGAGAGATTCTGGTGCAAAATAATATTTAGCACAGTCCTGTAAACTAGTCTGTCCATGTACAGCAAAAACAATACTTTACAAACAAGAAAACTTTCCACTGTTTACAACTGCTTAAAAGCAACAAAACACTCATAGGTGTTGTTTGTTGCTGTTTTCTTTTTATTGATTATCTGGAAAAATGTGCAGGAAACTTTTATTGCAGACCTGGGCAACTGCCCTTATTGCACATATAATAAGCATTGCGGCTTATGACTGCATATAGAGTACACAGAATTAGCAGTAGGGTCCCAATGATAATATGAACTATTTTAATTATCGATATGTATTACTGAGCCCAATGACTGATTTACAGTTTAAAAACTTAATAAGATCCTTTAAAAACAGAAAAACCTCCATAGATCAGGAAAAAAATAGGCTTATGTCAGAGGATAAGGCTGGTTGGAAAATGTCAGATTATAGTCTCATTTGCATCAAACAGTGCAGTGATAAAAGTATTTAGCCCCTTATTTAGCTCCTTTTTTTCTCATCGGTAAATATTTCAGCTCATTCAAATTCATTACTGTGAGGCTTTTAGGATGACTGTCAATCCACTTTTTAATTAGTTAGATTCAATTAATTACAGCAATTATCCCAGCATTTAAGGTGCAAAGTAGTCTCAGACATAGTACCATCGCCATGTTTCATAGTCAGTTTTGAGATGATTTTTGGGGCGGGTTAAGCCACACATGCCAGGTCACAAACCCTCCATAGTATCCCACCATTAATCATAATTTTGCAGAAAAACTATAAAGTCAATAAAGTCTAGAGGATCATCAAAAACGTTTTCTACACAGTGAGATTGTTGATTGTGAAACTAGGCTTTTTGTGAGTACCTGAATGAGTCACCATCCCCATTCTTGGAGTAATTTTGATTAATTATTCCCTCCTCAGAAAGGTCACCCTTATTGCATGTTTTCTCTATTTGTAGATAGTCACTCTGTGTTTCAAGAAGCCTCCAGATGGCTTTGAACTCTTTACAGAGTTATAGATACAGAATTTCTTTGGATCTGGTGTTATGTGTTGATCATCTAGTCTACTTCATAGCATCAGACATGTTTTATTTCAATTACTCATGAACTCTACAGGTCAGAGAGGAGTGAGGCCTGGGTGTGGATAGTGTGACTGAACTCCGCTTGCCAAAAAATGTGGAAAACCACAGTGAATTTAAGACTTACCAAATGGGCCAGTTACGTTCAAGAAGTCCCAGTCCAGTTTTAAAAGCCTTTTCCCTTGAGAGATGAAATGATTTGAAAAGTGCAATTTGTTTTTCTCTGGGTATCTTTCTTTAGAAATATAAATTGTTAAAGAATATTAGCAAAAATAGAAACTCTCAAAAAGGCAGCCAATATTTTGTTTGGGTTGCTTAGTAACAAGCTTGTCAAGAACGTTCGATTTTGCAGCTAAATTATTTCTGTAAGTGAAAAAACTTGTTATTCCTTAAATTCCAAATAGGTTGTTTGTTTTGTTTTTTTCCTCACATCTTAATTTATGGCAGACGGGCCACTTAAAATCATATTGTATTTACTTCTGCTCAAAAATCTACTCCTGTACTCAAAATGATATACATTGAACTTAAGTATACCGTCTACCAATGTCTGTGGTTTCTCTGGTTTCAGCGTAAAATTTTAGTCACTCCAGCATCTTTTTAAGGAAAACAATGTGTTTAATGTATCCACAATCCTCGTGTTTGAGCTATAGCTTTACTATAACAGTCACCACAGCCTGAGTGAACCTCAGACTGTATAATATGATAATAACAAAGTCCAGCTTCCAACAAAACTCCCATCTTATTTTCATTCCTAAATTCTCCTCCAGTCTATATTTCCCACACTGTCCTCAGTTTCTATACGCCTCTTCTCTCCTTTTACATTTTTTAATGTACTCAGAAATGCCACTCCTTTTATTTCCATGCTGCAAAGCCGAATTTAGCAAAACAAGACAACATTTTTTACAACTAGACATTTGTTGCGGACACTGATTTTAGTTTCACCTCCTTGTTCTCTTAAAATACAGGTTCTGGTTTTCAAGTGCCTAGGCTGGAATGTGTGTGCATTTTTGATTTTCTCTTTACTTTTCATTTTCTGTCTAGGAATCTATGCAAAAAATATATATAATTGCAAAACAAAAAAAACAAAAAAAAAAAACACAAATAATAAAGACATTGCTAAAAGTCAGTAAGAAAGGTCAAATTTTTTCTATTTTTCTGGGAGTCTGAACCATGTTTCCATAAGGAGGAGCAAAAGCTTTAGAGTTGTAAGTAACACCTTATTATACACTTGTTAGAAATGCCTCATTTGTTTGTTTGTGAGATCCTGGACTAAATTTAGACCAACGTGACAAAAAAAGAGCAAATCCAGCCAACAGCAGAGGCAGTGAGGTTGTAACATCCTTATTAAAAAACCAGAGAGAAAAGAGAAGCATAGGAGAAAACAAACCAAAACAGATAATATAAAGTGATAGAAACTAAACATAAATAAAACTTTCTTTTCCATTCCTATTGATCACAGATAGGTCATTTTTAACTCATATCAAAGAATGAACAGTCTTAATCTTTCCATAGGATAGTTCTGTAATCACCTGGAATTCTTTCAGGGTAATCAAAAAACATCTTATTTTCTTGAATATAAAAATATTTAGCCGGGACATAGTTTTCCAGGTGAGGAAAAGCTTTCCTGATAAACAACTGCAACTTTTTTTTCTTTTTCCTGCATATTTTTCCACAAAGATTTCTTTTTTTTTTAAAGAAACTATATCTTAATTACATCAGACCAAAACACACCACAACTTTGCACTTCTGATTATTGACAGAAAAAGTGTTTTTCCCCCTGGTTTCCCACCAAACATCCCGTAGAAGCATAGATGTTGTGTACACTTGACATGACTTGGTGATGAAAAGATGAAGGCGTTTGCAGGTGAGTTTACTGTTTCTGATGACAAGATAAACTTCCTCATCAAGTTTACTGTATTTAACTGCTTATAATTTCAGCAATCTTCTGTTCTTTCTTGTAGTATGAAGAGTCTCTAAGAGCAGCATGCACAAAATTTAAATAAAAAAAAAAAGTGAATTTCTAAACATGACATCCAAGAAACTATAAATAACTTTTTTTTTTTAATTCAGTGATATTTATTTCAAAGGGATTTTCAAAAGTTGGATTCTTTTCCCATTTGGCTTGTCATGTTATGCAACAGAAATAAAAACATTATTAATCTTCAGCTTAATAAAGAATATATTAAATCAGGTTTGCTGACAGAGAAATTGTATTAAATAATAAATCCTTCAATGAAAAACTCTGGGCATATATGAAGAATAAAGGCCAAAGTATTATTAATATCATTATAATTTTGTGGGTTTTTTTTAAACCAGAGATTTGCAGAAACATCCATATACAGTAAATTATTCAAGTAGCAGCCTGATAATGACATGTTTTAGATGCACATGGAGACAAGCAGCCTACCTGCGGTCAGCTGAGCGACGCACAGCCAGATCAACGCCACCTGAAAGCTCTGCTTCCCGGCAGCAGCCATGGCAAGAGCCGCATCTGGTCCCCCTTCTGAGCGCGCCGTCTCCACAGGCAGCTACTCTACAGAATCCCCCCCACACACATCATGTTGAAGTTTTGTTTATGTTTGTTTAAACGGGAGAGTCCATGCGCTCTGCGCGTCCCGCCACAGTGAAACTGAGCTGAAAGGAAACTAAATGCTTGCTTTTGCTCCGCCTCAGTCTGACCAGGATTTAAGAGGATTAGCGCCACAGACCTCCGATCCAGACATGTGAATGGAGCAGAGTGAAAGTGTGCAGCAGCATCTATTTAACCTCAGCAGGTCCACCTCCCCTCACTGCCTCCCTGCCTGCAGAATATGGAAATGACATCCAGTATGCATGCACTTAAACATAATATAAAGCTTGTTGCATCAACTCTCAATTTTATATTCAATGGTTTAAAGAGATTAAGAAAATACTTTCAATGTGCAATGACTTTTAAGGGTATACTTGTGACTTTTTTTTTTACTGAAGCTTGAGAATGAAATGCATCCCCCCTAAAATAAAATAAAAATATGAAATATAAAGGATCAAATAATGTTGAAGGGTTTTGTCCCACTCTTCTTTGCAGGGTTGTTAGATTTGGCCCCACTGAAGCATGATCTGCCTCTTTAAGGTTAAGTTTTAGAGTGCTGAGATGTCAAATGTTTTTCAGTCATATTTAAATCCAAGTTCGATCTGAAAAACTGAAATGAAGAGAAAAGACAATTAGGAGAAATGTATTGATACAATTACTTCGTTTTTGGTGCTTAGACTTTGGCAGGAAACAGAGCTTCATTTTGATAGATATGCATGAACAGGAGCAAAGAACAGGTCTGTTTCCCCCCTGGCCTGATTATGGTGGTGGAGTGGAGATAGATGAAGTTGGTCAGTCTGTAGACTGCTGGTTAACGAGACAGTATGCTGAGCTTTATGGGGAGAACCAGTGGACTGCGTGAGCTGGTACTAGAGCTTCACTCAGTGACCTGGAAGATGGAAGTCCAGTTGGAAAACACAGGTTGAGAGAACCTGTCCATGATGAGCAAGCATGAAGCGACAGTGGAGAGAAAAAACTCCCCATTGGGAAGAAACCTCCGGCAGAACCAGCTCAACCGGACCGGTTGAGATTAGACAGGGAACACAATAAGAGTCAGGGAGGAATGACATCCTGATGAAGCTTCAGCTACAAAGGTGGAAGAGGGGCTGGAGGTGGGTTGAGACGGAATCATCTGAATGAAGTCACAGCGCATCCGCTGCCTGCCCACAGGAGCAGAAAAGAGCGGATTGGAGGCCTTTTAAGATCAGCTTTGGATGCCGGTTGGCTTTCGTTGAGGTGTGGTTCAAAGCTGATTGGCTGTGTCGCAGGTGGATGTAGGAAAGCAATCAGTTTCTTCAGTTGAACTTCCCCCTAGGCTCCATTTTATAATAAACAAAAAATGGGATGAATTCTCATTTTGAGGTGTACATTTAGTTTTTCTAAACATAACTCAAATTTGTTTCAGCTTAAGTTTTCAAACTAAGGGCATTTTGGTTTTGTTTTTTTTTTGTTTCTCTTGGTTAGAAGTATTTTTTTGCTATAACTTCAGCAAGTCATCCAGCTCCTGAACGGGGGGGGCAGTCCCAGATCATCACATCACAACCACCCTGTTTGACTGTTAGTACTTTTGGGCATAGTGGTTTGGTTAGCTTTTACACTTAAATGTATTAAATTTCATAGCAGCGTATCATTACAATTTTAACTCTAAATATCTATTTTATTAAAATCATGTTTTTAAATAAATGTTTGTTTGTTTTTTTGGTAATTCCCAATGTAATCTTAGTATAGTCTTCTGTTCAGGAAATACAACTCTTGTTCTGTTTTTTTGTTTTTCTTTTCCAGTGCTTTATATTTATTTGTATCATTAGTGTCTGGTAGAGCTAAATCCTAAAATTATTGATTTAATATTTTTATATATGTTAGGGTTTTTTTATCTGCTCATCTGTTATGATTTTTTTTAAAATGTACAAATGTTTTCTTAAAGAGTTTTGTGCTACGTTATGATCTCTAAAATGTTTTTCCTCTTCATCTAAAAGCATTTGTGTGCTCCCCCCCCCCCCTTTCCTCGGTTTTGTTGTTCCGTTTCTGAACTAATGTTATGTTTTGCTCTGCAGGGCCACTATGGCTGTACGTTCTAGCCAGCAGACCATATTGCACCACAGGAGATTTTGCAATTTCTGTCCCAGTGTGTCTGCAGCCCAAATGGAGGCAAAGCTCTATATCTCTGACAGAGCTGCTTGGCTTTGCTTTGCTTGTCCGCATTGCAAAACTTGCCTGCATGCAAGACGTTATTTACTGCATGGGACTTGTGGCCAAAGTCATGCTTCTGTTGCTCAGGCTCCACAGCAACAGCAGATGCCCGTGTCACCAGGGAGAAGGACAGAGGTAAGAACTTCATGAGAAAAAGCACATCAGCACATAATCAGGAAACATGCCTTTTCCATTTTTCACTTAAATTCATACATCTTGAAGTTTTTTTTTCAAGCATCCACAAACTTCACTGTGATATACTGGAGTTTTGTGACCGATCATCACTAAATGGTAAAAAAAAAAAAAAAAAAGTGGGAAGCAAAGAGATACAAGTTCTTTAAAATCTTTTCATAAATGTCCAGCTCATACTTGCTTCCAGCCCTCTTCACTGTGATTCCCCTAAATAAATTAGAGTGAAACCAGCTGTCTCCTGTCTATTTATATATCAACACCATCTATGTCTCATTAAATCTAAGCTTAAATCCAGCTGTTCCATAAAGACCCGTGGATGTTTCATTGGAGAACATTAGTGAACAAAGACAATCATAAAGAACAAAGCAAACTGATCAGAGCTGAAGTTGTGGAGAATTTGAATGCAGAGTTTATTTGTAAAATATCTCAAGTTCTTCAAATCTCACCAGAAACTCTTTAACCTTGCATCGCTTTAACTGAAGGAAAAAAATCCACTGCTCAGGTAGGAAAATCTGTAGGGAGGACAGCTACCTATTATCCACCCCATAAATCTGGAAAGTTGTTGAAAAGAAAGCTATTGTTCCAAAACGCCAAAGTGCCGTTTAGTGTTTTCTACAAGTCACTTCAGAGGGACAGCAAAAGTGAGACATAATTTGAACTTTTTGGCTTAAATGTGTAACGCTACGTGTAAAGGCAAAGGTACGTGGAGAGAGCATGAGTTCAACATGATTAAACAAAGTTATACAAGAATTACACTGTGGGGATGTTGTCTAACTCAATGGGATAATGGATGGTTTTTTTATGTTTACACACCAAATTTAATGTCAATCCATTTAGTCCTTTTTAAGTACATCTTATTTAAAATGAATGGCTTTGAACTAGTTTTTAATAATTTCAATTGTTTTTCAAAATTGTACAGAAATATTTTTAGGTACGTAAAACAAACCTAATGGTCTTATATCAGTAAACAGGGGAAACGACACATGACAAAAAAATAGGTTTCAGGTTGTCGTCCTGCTGGGAGCTGAACCTCCATCCCAGTTTAAAACTGCAAGCAGAACAAGGTTTTGCTTAAGAATATCCATATATCTAACATCATCTACGTTTCCCTTGACATGGGCCAGACTCTCAGTCCAGGCTGCTGAAAAAAACATGCCCACAGCCTGATGCTGCCACCACCATGGTGTTTTTGAAAAGATTGGATGTGTTGCCGTAGAAATTTTTGCAAGGCTTAAAAGTTCAGTCTTCATCTCATTTGGTTGGAACACCTTTATTTATACATGTGGGATGTAACCAACATGCCTTCTTATTTCAGGCTTCTGGAGGATGTAATGACTTCTACTTTACACTGACACATTTTCTGCTATTATAGACCATGTTCTTTTTCTTTTCTCCGTGTAGAAGTAATAACTGCTCCATATTTTCTGCATAGCTTTGCCATCAATCTGGAGGAGGAAAACCACTTTAACTATAGCTACCAAAAACCATAGGTTTTGTATCTATAGATGATAAACAGGCCTTTATGTACGGGGTTTAACCCAGCTTCTTTCCAACAAACAAAATTTTCTGAAGAAGTTCATGCTACCGCTCACTGTAAACTGATTTTCATCACACATAATAGATGAGAACTTATTAGATGAAACTTATTAGAAGTCAAGGAAGGTACAACTATTATTATTATTACCCATTTAAGTTTGCTTTAACATTGAGTGCTCATGGGCCCAGTGATTCTGCTTCTCCATCTCTATACATTTCCAATCAATCATGACAGATTGCTTGTTCTTGAAGTTCTGATTGAAGTTGTTCCATCAAAAAAAGTGAGTTAATCCTTACCAGCATCCCCACATGCACACTCAACAGGGATTGCTGCAAAGTTAGTGATTAAGTGCATAAAGATAAATGAGATTTTTTTTTTCTTAGTTTGGATTACTTTTAATTTGGAGCTTTGCCTTATAGAGTACTTTAAGATAAAAAGCATTTCATTGAAATGATATAATAAACTAAATTGAATAGTTGGTGCTGGTGCACTGAGTTTTAGTGAGTCAGGGAATCTGTCTGAAAAAGAAAATGGAGCCTGTTATGCTCCCCTCTGCTGTAAAACTGGGTCATTTCTTTGCAGGATCTAACACTTAAACAGCCCTATTAAAAACGAGGGAACACCGTGCCATCTTCATGAAATTTAAGCTTG